CCCTGCGTCTGCAGACGGGGACCCTCACTCCTTAAAAACAGAAACCTGCCTGTATTGCTTACGTGGTTGCAAGAAAAGTTCAAAATAGGAAGTCAGAAAAAAAGAAACTGGAGCCGTGTGGCGGCTTCTTCACTTCTGTGCTCCTAGTTCCTTGGCTTAACTGTGTCTCACCTTTTGTGTCGCCGTCGTATCCACTTAGGGGCTGCCTAGGCTCTTGGGCAGGATAAACTGTCACGGCAGCGTGCAGCGTGGTGATCTTGGATGGAGCACAGGGACCCGGACTGGAGGCTGACTCCTCATGGACTCGCCATCCCAGGGGTCCACGGGAGCTCTTCTGTAAAACGGACCTCCCAGCTCTTGCCCTCTGCTGAAGTGCTAGGAAAAGGTCCCGACGATCCACTCAGCCGTGCTCCACCTGGGGTGAAGGACTGCTCTGCCCCCCCCTCCTCCCACACCTGCCTGGCCTCCTCCCTTGAATGTCCTGTCCCTGCACTCCCACCGTCACACCTCTGCAGTCCTGGGTCTGTGGCTGGCTCACCTGCTCTCACTGTGCCTGACACCTCTGCTGGGACCTCTCATTCTAGGTCAGCATCGTCCACAGGCCGCTCTGCAGGCCTGTCAGATCCGGTGTGCCCTGATCTTCACATTCTCCCTGAGCCTGGGTGACTGTCTTTCAGGCCCCGCTGCCATCTTCCTGCTCCCCCTCCTGCGATCACCGTCCTCTTGCCAGGCTCTGCTTGCTTTGTTGACAGTGATAGTTTTAGAACGTGTTCTCTTACCTGAGTTCAGGTGCCTCCCATGCCCACAGAATGAAGCCTCAAACTCCAGGCTCCTGAGCATGGCATTCAGAGGACTTGTTAGAGGGCCAGTCCTGTCCTCTTGGTCACATCTCCCTTCTCCATGCTGTGACCCTCTCCCCCTCCTTCCTGCCTCTGAACTCTCCCTTTTCTCCCTGGTCCATGCCTTGCTGGTCTGCAGGCTGCCCATGCTGTCCTCTTGATTGACAGTTCTCTGTCCTTTACACAGAATTAACTGTTGTCTCTCTTTCACACTGTGCTCCTGACTTGGGAGTGTTATTGGCAAGGCTCGTTCCCACCTTGCCGGTTCTAGAGCTCCTGGGCCAAAGCGGGAGTGCAGTTGCGCATCTCTCCTGGCAGGGCGTTTGCGCGCTTGCTAGCCTGCAGCAGAGATTCACTTCTTTCTGTTTCTGGAGGTCATCAGTGATTGTGAACAGCAAAGCAATGAGACGCTTAAATAGCTTTTTTTTTTTGTACTAGGGATTGAACCCAGGGATGCTTAACCATTAGATCACATCCCTAGCCCGTTTTACTTTTTATTTTGAGATAGCCTTGCTAAGTTGCTGAGGCTGGCTTTGAACTTGGGATCCTCCTGCCTCAGCCTCCTGAGGTGCTGGGATCATAGGTGTGTGCCACTGCACCTGCCTAGACAGCAGGGCTGAAGCGTCACACCTTGACGTGTTCCCTTGCAGCCCATCATCAGAGCAGTCCTCGCCTTTGTGGGCTGACTTCAGTATGTTTTGGTGAAATACACTTTACTTGTGGCCATGGAAAAAGTAAGAGGAAGAGCTTAAGAAACTTGCTTGCAGCTGCAGGTGGCCATCCATCTGCGCTGGGCCCTGACTGGGGAGCACCGTCTGCATGGGAAGAAAGCAGCGCAGCCGGATGCGGCCTCTGCGCCTTCGCTGTGGGCCTTGCAGACCTGAGTTCGGCCATCCTTACTGAGGCATGGCTGACACGCGACGGGATGTGTCACCCGTACAGTTCGTTGTTTTTTCAAGCAGCTTAGTGAATTTGCCTGACAAGTGCTGGTGCCTGTGTGACCCACTTCCCTCTCCATGCATAGTGTCTTGATACGGTCATGTCCGTCGACTCAGAAGCCACCTTGGGGCTCTCCTTGCTCCTTTTCCCTGGTGCTGAAACTCCTATTAGGATTTCTTTTTCTTTTTTTAAATATTTTTTTAGTTGTCCTTTATTTATTCATATATGGTGCTGAGGCTCGAACCCAGTGCCTCACACATGCTAGGCAAGCGTTCCACCACTGAGCTCCAGCCCCAGCCCTCAGAGTTCCTTCAGGTCACTCTGTTGGCCTGATGTCTGTGTCATACAGGTGGAGTCGCACTTCGTAGTTGTGAGATTGTCCCTGCTGTTGCTGGCATTGGCCACTCCCTTCTTTCTTGTGCAGAACCATTCCTTTATATGAAGTGTCATGGTGTGCTTGGTTATCTCCTCTTGGTGGCTTTTTCGATTTTTCTGGTTAGCTTTTGGGATAGATGGCTACCAGCAGCTTTTACAAGTTTTATTCTGATTTGTACTTACTTTTCTTGAGCAAATGCTGAGATGTGGACTCACTGAGTCGTAGGGTGGTGGTGGTGGTTTCACTTTGAGAAAGCATCAGGCCACTTTCCCAATGGTGGATGTTGGTTACTTTTTCCAGTTTATAAACATAATCGGGGATTTGGACTCATTGGAAGATTTCTGCTATACCTGATGCTTGCTTTGGCATTTCAGCAGTTTCAAACCAGCTTATGATTTTAAAATGTTGCAAAGATAAGCTCATTGGAAAACAGTGCAAGCTATCATTTAGCATTTAAAGTTGTTGGCTGTGACCTAGATGCTTGAATAAAGTCGCTGTAAGTATTTTATTTGGGTACTAGGGATTTAATGCAGGGATGCTTTACCACTGAGTTACATCCCCAGGCTTTTTAATTTTATTTTATTTTGAGATAGGACCTTGCTAAGTTGTGGAGGCTGGCCTTGAACTTGCGATTCTCTTACCTCAGCCTCCCGAGTTGCTAGGATTGCAACCCCTGCCCTCCCCTTCACTTCACCGCTCAGAGCACCTTGTTCCACCACAGGCAGCGACTTGGGGCTCACTCAGGCAGAGCAGCACTTCCTTGGAGGGATCATGGTACAAGGAGTGGACAGGCTGCTGGCCCTCGGGCCCTGTCCCACCTCTAGAAGGGCTGTTTTTCCTTTTCCTTTCTGCGGTGCCTTGGCTGGACCTGCTGTGTGGAAGTGGTTTCCTGGTGGTTCTCTATTACACGAAGCTGGGGCCCGTGTCACTGTGTGGTGTTCTTGTGGCAGATGCTGCTGTCTCAGGACAGCTGCCCTCCTGCCTGCCTTGTGGGGTCTGTTCTGTCCCCTTGGGTCCTTTCTGGGCATTCCCTTGCTCCCAGTCCTGCTTCTCAGTTTTGAACTTTATCATCATGTGTTTTCTGTAACCAGGAAGTTCTCAGTGTCCCTCTGTTTGTTTCAGTTTCTGCTCTGGTTTGAGAAGGTGACCCTAGCTGTGCCGTTGGAAGCCTTCTTCGTGCCCTGTGCCTGCTTGGGATTCCTTTCTCCATTTCTTCTTGTTGCGTCCTCTTTTTGGTAGTTACTGGTTTTATTTTACACCAGGTGGTGGCACGCAGCAGTCTTCCTGAACAAGGTGGCCTAGGTCCAGTGTTTGGAGCAATGCGTGTACAGTGAGGGTCCACCCAGTACACTGTGCTATGGTCCAGATGTTCACCAGCTGGGGCAGCGGCCTCGGGGATGCACACCTGTGTAGAAAGGACAGGGGTGCCTGGCCCAGCACGGGAGCCCGCGGCTCTGCTCCTGCACTCTTACTGCGCCTGCTGTCAGTGTCCGGCCCGTTCCTTTACCCGCCCGGTTGCCCCAGATTTGAGGACACCCCTTTGCTTCCTGCTTTCAGCTCACCTCTGGATCCTCCGTCCTTCGCCAAGTAGAGCTTTCCCTTTAAAGCCCTGAGCGTGAGCTCCTTGTTTTCCTCGCCTGGAGCTTTCTGTCTGCCTCCCTGGCTGGCAAGGGTGACCAGTCCTTTGCTTCTCTGCAGGTTTTTCAGTGGCAGCTTGCTTTTTCCTCTTTAATTTGTGTCACCTTCGCTGTCAGAATTGCTGCCCGGGGACCTTGGTGGCCCTGCTGCTGCAGTGGGGGCCTGTGGCTGCTCCCTCCGACCCTGGCATGAAGACTCGTGTGTAGGCTTTCTTCATTCTCAGGGCGGAGCTGTGTGAGGCCTTGGCAACCTCTGTGGCTAGGGGGCCCTGGCCTCCTCCTCCTGGGACCTCCACGGACCTGGCGTTCTCTGGGGTCCCCTGCGTCTCGTTGCACCTTGCTCTTGGGCCAGCTCTGTGTTCCTAAGAGGGTCCCTGTACCCTCCAACTGCTGGGGTTCCAGGAGCCCCATGGGGATGAGCCCTGGGTAGCTCCACAAGCAGGTGCCCTGGGCCCAGTTCCAGCAGCTTTCTTTGCCTGGCCTGCTTCCTCCCCTGGGCGCCTGTCCTGCGACCAGCACCTCCTCAGCTCCTGTCTCCCATCTTCCCTGGAACCCTGTCGCGTGGCTAGCAAAAGAGTTTGCTGTGGTTGAAATAAAGGTCAGCCAGGTTGGGGCTGGATTATCCCTGGGGATCTTGGCTTACAGATTTGTATGTAGCACCGGGGCTAAAAAAGCAGGAGAGAAAAATAGATTTGAAGTAAAGTGCATTCTGGCGTGGTGGCACGTGGCTGAGAGAGGAGGACCTCGAGTCCGAGGTTCAGGATGATCCGGGGCATCATGGACCCAGTCTTAAAAAAAGCAAAACAACACACACAATGAACCGTTTCCAGGATGGTCATTCAGTTTATTGGCAAAAAAACCAGAAGAGTTGGGCTGGGGATGTGGCTCAAGTGGTAATGCACTCGCCTGGCATGCGGGGGGCACTGGGTTCAATCCTCAGCACCACATAAAATAAAATAAAGATGTTATGTTCACTGAAAACTGAAAAATAAATATTAAAAAATTCTCTCTCTTTCCTCTCTCTCTTAAAACAACAACAAAACTTAGAAGAGCACTGATTTCATGGGGAAGGGTCGTTTGCATGACAGCTTGGTGGGTAAAATGTTAGGTGGCTGGTAGAGGCTCGGAGATTGACCATGTCTGAAGAAATGTCACACACTTTTCTGTCATAAAATAAATAACTTCTGATCTGATTTTATTGTCTTTCAGAACCTATCACATAGGACAGCATGCACCTTAAGATCCTGAAGAAAGACCCAAAATGTCCAAGTGACGTTCAGAAATAACCTGTGAGGTAAGCTGGCGACCTGTCCCCCAGCAGCCGGCAGGTGTGAGTGTGCGCAGGAGCAGGAGCAGCCCGGGTTGCAGGCAGCAGGAGGAGGGGTCTTGTTGGGTTAGGGTGTGGCCAGGGTTACAGATGGGGAAACTCAGGTGCAGATGAAATGGCAAGTTTTAGGTGCTTGTCCCCTTAGTAACACACTCGGGGCTTAGCTTCCCTTGTTCTGGGAACCGTCTGTGTTTACTGTGGCCTCAGGCAGAGCTCAGGGGTGTAGACAGAAGCCCCTCGGTAGAACCTGTGATACAGCGAGCCTGTCGGGCCAGCTCTGCGTGCTGCTTCGGGCTCTCTCAGAGTGACCTGCAGGAGTGGCTGACGCTCTGCGGAGGAGCATCTGCCAGCCAGCCCACAGCCCAGGGTTCCCTCGCAGCACCACAGGACAGCAGTGAGTGGTGGCTTTGGCATGTAGTGGGGGGGCGGGCACCCCTGGCTGTGCATCTCAGGGTGCTGTGGGCTCTGTTGTCCTCAGACTTTGTATCAGGCTCTGGGTGGAGGAGCCACCGTTCCCCTCCTCCCCGCTGTGTGCTCCTGCAGCTGCTCCCAGTGACTCAGCACCTGCCGAGGTGCCTTCTCCCCCAGGGCGGAGCCCTTGCTGCGTTCATCAGTTGCTATCTTGAAAATAAAGTGCTTTTTGGACCTCAATCTTCTTATCAATGTCCAGTGAATTTTATAGACTTGGCACTTAAGAGTCAAATATCAGCCAGGTTGGTGGCACATGGATGTAGTCCCAGTGGCTTGGGAGGCTGAGGAAGGAGGATTGTAAGTTGAAGGCCAACCTAAGCAATTTAGGGAGGCCCTGTCTCAAAAAAAAAAATAAAATAAAGGACTGGATATGTGGCTCAGTGGTAGAGCGCCTCTGGGTTCAATTCCTGTACCAAAAAACAAGAGAGTCCAGCGTCACCAGTACCACCAGATGTGCCTCTCTAGGAGTGTCCTGCCACTGCCAGCCTGCAGTGTCTGTGGGTGCATGTCTTCCACAGATGCGCCTGCCGTCCAGGTCCCCAGGAAGGGCAGTGGCCACAGGCCGCCTCCTGCGCTGTGGAGGTTGCCCCAGGGTCTCTGCGGGGAAGCCCGTGTCAGCCTGCACTCCTTTAAAAGTCTCACAGGGTCCTGCTCTCTGACGGGAGTGTAGCTTGTGGGCTTGCTGCCGGCCAGCAAGCCCCGTTCTCACAGGATGTCCTCCTTGAGGGACTCGGCAAATGGCTGTGGTCAGAGGGGTTTTTCAGCTCGAGGCCTTGGCTTGGTGCGCCTGGACTTGGCCACGATTCATACAGAAGCTGTGTGGAGCTCTCAGGAGACCGTTAGGTGCAGGCAAAGAGAGGGTCACAAATGCCTTTGTGGCAAGCCAGCACCCAGTCACATGGGACAGGGAGGGGAGACAAGCCTCTAAGGGGTCGAGGGCAAGCAGGACGGGGGCTGAGGTGGTCAGCGCCTGGAACCGCGGCCGGTGCGCGGGCCCCGCCAACTCAGGAGGCAGAGAAGCCGCAGCTGTGCGGCCAGGCCCTGCTGGTGCTGGCAGATGGTTGCAGGCCTCGTCCCGTGTCCAGAGACCTCTCGAAGGACTTCTCCGATGAAGGACATTCCAGAAGCAGGTGTAAAATGAAGAGCAGGTTGAAAATAGGAGGGAGAAGGGGAGACGGCCTGGGGAAGGACTGAGCCCGGGGGACACCTTGTCCGTCCCCCTTGCTGCTGGTGCTGGCCAGGCCTCTCTTGTCTGCACCCCAAGGTGGCAGAGGGTGGGAGCGGCAGGTCTTCTGCTCTGTGGGCTGTGGACCTGCTTGTGGCCGCCCTTTTCACCCTCTTGTCCTCTTCGTGCCCTGGCGTGGGGCCAGGTCTCCTGAGGTCTGGTCTGCACCCGGGACTTGCTGTCATTCGTGCACAGTGGACGGTCATCCAGGCAGCAGGTCTGGAGTCCAGCCCTTGACTGCTTAAGTTCTTTTCTGTGTCGTGTGCGCAGCTGGCCTGGTGAAGTGGCCAAGGGCCGCCTGGCATCATGTTTGAGGTGGCTCCGAGCCTGTGCGGGCTGGAGCACCGGGGCTCAGGCGTGTCCTCACAGCCTCACCAGCTCTCTGTCTCCCCTGCAGGGCGCGTGGGGAATCATGCAGCCATCAGGACACAGGCTGCGGGACATCGAGCACCATCCTCTGCTGGCTGAAAATGACAACTACGACTCCTCGTCCTCCTCTTCCTCTGAGGCGGACGTGGCCGACAGGGTGTGGTTCATCCGCGACGGCTGTGGCATGGTCTGTGCCGTCATGACGTGGCTCCTGGTCGTCTATGCCGACTTCGTGGTGACATTTGTCATGCTGCTGCCTTCCAAAGACTTTTGGTACTCTGTGGTGAACGGGGTCATCTTCAACTGCTTGGCGGTTCTCGCCTTGTCCTCGCACCTGAGAACCATGCTCACTGACCCTGTGAGTACCCACTGCCGCCTGTGCAGCCTCAGGCTGTCGTGAATTCTGGGTGCAGGCTTTAGGGACACTTCCGTGTCTTCCTGAAAGCAGAGCTGCCTGAGGGCAGTGCACACGCCCGTTGGCGAAAGGGGGCTCCTGGCTGCTGGAGGACTTTGAGACGGGGTTCGTGTTGCTCCATGGTCCCTGACCTCTGGCAGGTAGTTTGTAAAGTCCCTCCCAGTTGGAGTGTCCTCCCCCGAGGACGGCCTGAGGCTGAGACACCTGGCTCCAGGGGTCACCCCTGCTGACCCTCATGGGTGTCACGTGGTTCTTTGTGGCTCTGCCACTTTCTCTTTGGTCCATCGGGTCATTTGGCTGGTAAAAGGCCGAGGTCCCACCTGCCACTGGAGCAGGGAGGAGGAGCCTGGTCGCTGTGCTGCAGGTGTGGCCATTGCCCTCAGGGAGCGACGGCCCGTGGAGTTGAGGCCGCTGCCCCGGGCCCAGCTGCCCTCACAGACCCTCCAGCTCAGGTACACCCCCCGCCTTCGACTTGGGGTCCCAGGTTTCCCAGAGCTTGGCAGGTGCTGTGGTCTGGGGACCACGCAGGAGGGTGGCGGAAGGCAGCCACTGCCGATTCCCACTTGAAGAATGTTCTCTGCGCTGCGTTAAAGCAGGGGGCACGCCGCTGGCCCAGGACTTTTGCTTTGTTCTCCTCATTACTGGGCTCCCGTCCGGCTGCCAGCGTCCTCCGGGCGCTCTGTGCCCACAGCTCTTGGTAGGTGAGGTCGGGGCTGCTTTTTGAGGAGGCCTGCTCCTGGCCAGCCTGAGAGCGTGGCTCGTACCAACGTGTGCGGGTCCGAGTCCGTCACGTGGGGCTTTCTGTGTACTGTTCACCTTCTCTCCTGCTTGGGGACTAGTGGCCTAGGGCAGCTGTCCCTGGGAATAGGACGGTGTCCTGGCTGGAGGTGACTTGCCGTGGTGTCTGCCCGGGGTGGGGGCCCTTCTGCAGGGTTGCACCTCTGACCGCCGAGGGCTCTCGTCATTTCCTCTTAGGGAGCAAAGGCCCCCCTGGGACCGCACCCTTTTCTGATCCAGGGCTACTGGGACAGGGCCGCCGTGGCCATCTCTGCTAGAGTATCGCAGTGTGGGAAAGGCCAGTGACGTGGATGACTGCCCCGGGGTGGGAAAGCCTCTGGGCCTCTGTGGTGCAGGCCCGGGCCTCTTTAAGCCTCCTGCTCGCGCCTGCTGGGGACAGGGAGGAGGACTCGGGGCAGTCTCTGCACTTCTTTCTGCTGGCAGTGCCCTTGTCCTGGGCGCCTCTGCCTTTGACCCTCAGTGGCCACTCAGTGGCCCAGTCCTGCTTGCCGCGTCCCCACAGGAAGAGGCCTCAGTGCTCTCAGGGAAGCCGGAGGGCAGGGCAGGAGGGGCGTCTGTCTCCCTGCAGAGAGTGGCAAGGGCAGCATCACCCGGATGGGACCGGCGGGAAGAGGCATGGAGACGGGTCACCTCCCACCCAGCTCAGCCGTGGGAAGCTCAGTGGCTGTTTGTGCCTTCAGAGTTGTGCAGCACTGCCTCGGGCCATCTCAGAACACCTCCGTCACCCAGGAGGAGGCTCCACACCTTCCCCATCGGTGCTCCCAGTCCCTGGCAGCCACTGCCCAGCTTCCAGCCCACAGATTTGCCTGCTCAGAGCATTTCACACAGATGGAACCGCACAGTCAGTGACCACTGCGTCTGGCTTCTCTCCCGGGCAGTGTGTTTCCCGGGGCGCTCTGCAGAGTGCGTCAGCTCCCAGGGCCTTTTCCCCTGTGTGGATGGACCAGTGTTCACAGCCGCCGTCCTCAGTGGGCATTTGGGCTGTTGCCAGTTCAGGGCATCGTGAGCAGCGCTGCTGTGATTTCCAATCATAGGTTTTTGGGTGGACATGTGTCCCTGTCTTTGGGCACATACTTGGACTGGAATTGCTGGCTCATGTGGGAGCTGTTTGCGGAAACACCAGACTGTTCTCCAGGGGGGCTGCGCTGTCTCCCGTTTCCACTGGGGTGTGCAGTTCCCTGCGTCCCCGCCCACACTTCCGCGTCCATCTGTTGTGATGAGGGGTCCCTGTGGTCGAGGCTCAAGCACATCTCAGGTGCTGGTTGCTTTTGCTATCTCTGTCCTTTTGGATGTCATTTCTTCGGCTGTGTCACATATTAGGGCTCTGGTGGCTTTGTATAGAAGCCATTGGGACTCAATAAAGTCAGACTGAGGAGCCATGGCGGATGGCACCTGGCCGCTGGTGGGCTGTGATGGCTGGCAGATGCCCTGGCCTCCTCTGTCCCTGGGCTCATGCCTGCCTTCCTTAGTGTCCAGCTCCCCACTTAACTTGGCCTGGGGAAGAAGGGTAGCCGCTCAGACCAGATCAAGTTATAATCCTTAAGTTGCAAATCCGTGTTTCTGGCTGGCTCAGTAGGTCACGTGTCCCTGCCCCTGCCCGGGGTGGGTGGGGCTGCTTCCTGCTGTCTACCAGGTTGTGCTCTTGCTGTGCAGCATCCGCTGTGGGCAGAACAAGAACCTTCATGCCGCCCGGGGGGGAGCAGCTGTCCTCACCAGCAGCACTTGGCGATGCTTGCTGGGAGTAGCTGGACTCCTGTCATGCAGAGTAGTCACTGAGACGTTGGAGAGGCGCATGCGGAGGAAGGGCTGGTGCGTTGCGTTGGCAGTCAGAGATCTCGTGAAGAGCTGAGCCCCACTGCTGGTGACACAGACTTATCAGCGTTGATGTTGGGGTCACATGGGGCCCGTCCCTGTGCAGCGCCCTCAGTCTGCGCAGCAGCCAGCCTCCAGATGCTACCAGTGTCTTCCAGGACCTTCAGGAACCCCAGGGCGCCCTGAGAAGGGACAGTGAGTTTGCACTGAGGTGAGAGGCCAGGAGGGACTTGCCCTGCCCTGTGTCTCCATAGCTCCTGCTTCCTGCCAGCTTCTCATAGGAGGCTCCAGACTTGGGGCCAGTGCTGACCGCCTGGCGTGCTCCCCCGTCGTTCAGGGTAGACCTCATCTGTAAGCACAGGACGGCCACAGCGCCACCTTGGCTGTCCGCGGGAGCTCCGCTGTGCTGGTCCTGCTGCTGCTCTACCTCCCCTTTGATGCCCCCAGACGGGCCACGTGTGGCTGGCTTCCAGCTCTCTTCCCTGCTCTTCAGTTCCTCTCCGTGGTCCCCACAGTGGCTTTCCTTGGGGTCTTTTCCAATCGAAGCAGCATGGTCCTGTGGATCTGCAGTTACTGACCTGGCCCGGGACGCGCCTTTCCTGAGTCCACAGGTGGACCATGAGGCCCAGCCCTGTTCTCAGCTGCCCCTTGACTAGGTCCTGGGTGTCCAGGGTGTGTGACAGGGAGCTGGGCTCAGATGGAAGAGGAGGAGAAAGGCAGGCGAGCCTGATGGCACAGCGTCCCTTCCTGGCGTGTGACGTGAGTGGGTACACTGTCGCCAAGACTGGTCTGGTTTCCCTCACCTGGCAGGTGGGAGGCAAATGGCTGCTGGAAAAGAGGCAGCTCGAGTCAGAAAGCAGCCGTGGGGGACACCATCTGGGCCAGCGGGTGGGGAGGAGGAAGCTGGGTGGGACACGTTCTGGAAGCATTTTAGAAAAATCCTCCACTTACACAAGGCGTGTTGCGGCAGAGTGAAGAGTGGTCTTCCAGGGCGCTCCTGTGCTTGCCGACCAGCGCGTCCTGGTAAGGCCTCAGTGACTGGCTCACAGCCCACCTGCTGCCAGGCCTCGCCTTGCAAGGTGCAGGGAACAGACCACAGGGCCTCTGGGCAGGTGGAGCCACCTGCGGGCCCGTGCCGTGCCCTGCAGCAGCCTCACCATCGCCCAGGGTTCTGCGCAGCAGAGGGAACTCTGAGCCTGTGTGGGGTGCACGCCTGTGGTCCCCGCTCCTCGGAGGCCAAGGCAGAAGGCCCTGGGGCCCGTCCATCCATAGCAAGACAAAAGTAGGAACACTGAGAACGCAAGGTGCCTGAAGGCCAGCCACAGCCTCAAGTTCTGCGGGTCGAGGGGGTGTGCTCGCTGCCCCCAAGAAGCTGCCTTCCTCTGCCCACAGGTCGAGTGGTCCAGAGCAGGAGGTGGCTTTGGCCATGGCTTCGTCCAGAACCTCTAGAGCCCTGTTCTTAGGTGGCGTCTGCACAGTTCAGGGGCTGAGGCTTCAGATCCAGTCCATCTCCTCTTCCTGGGGAGACTCCTGACACGCTGTGGGAGGCTGCGGTGTTAGGGATGTGGTGAGGTCAGAGCGGGTGACGAGGTGCTTATTGTTGGAGGAATCTTGGTCACAGACTCCGACTGTGGGACGTAAGGAACGTAGTTTACTTAGGTTCATTTGAATTTTTAAAGACAAGAAAGTCGAAACCTGCCGCTTTCCGAGCTTCTAGGGAAGACAGTGGGCCTGTTGGGAGACACGGGCCCCACTGCCAGGGCTTCCGAGTCACAGGTGGGTGGGGCCTCAGGCCCAGGCTGGCGGCACTCACCCACAGGGGTGCAGGTCCCTGGCTCTGGCCACAGCCCAGTCTCTGGGCTTTCAACTCTCCAGCTGTTGGCAGGGCCTCACCTCCCATGCCCTTGCCCTGGGGTGTCTTCTTGCTGGCATTGTCCATGTGGCCTAGGCTGCTGCCACAGCAGTGTCTCTGTCCAGAGATGTGCTGTGCTTCCGGCCAGACCCAGGCTCTGAGCTGACCTTGTCAAGACCTTCTCCCACCTGGAGGCGTTCAGAACTCCAGGCAGCTTTGCCTATTTTATTCCACCTGGACACAACTTCCAGAATAGTCTCCCAGAAACAAATTCTAATTACCTATCTCCACTGCCCAGAGAGCAGCCTGCTCAGCTGTCCAGCCCTCTCCTCCCAGTCCTTCCGTCCACATTCTGTTTCGTAGGCGACCCTTGGCCTTCCTGGTTGCCTCTCATATGGCTTTGCCCTCGCTCACCTTGGTCCAGCTCTGGTAGCACTTGGACTGGGGACTTTGGCTTATGTGTGGATGTTGCGGAGGAGGTTGGCCGAGAGCGATGCGTGACATGACTGTGACAGCAGGAAGGGAAGTGCCTGTTGCTGTGGTTTTGTCATCATTCCCCAGCGCTTACAAGAGCAGTCCTCCCCTCTAGCTGGGTCAGGGAAGTGGAGCCCGCAGGCTGGGGACTGCCAGCGGCCTCTGCGTTGGAGCAGACCTCACGTCTGGTGTGCCCTGCTTTAGGCTAGAGACTGCCAAGGTCAGTACGTGAAGGATAATAAGGGATTTCTTTTTTGTTATTTTTATGTAAAATAAAAGTCTGGACTTGCCTGAGTCAGGGTCACTTTTCATATTTAATATGCTCTAAGTGATGGACACAGCATTATGAATTTTTGATGATAAAATCTAAGATGAATTCCTAAATTGATTTTTTTTTTTTAACCTTCCTTTCTTCCCCACTAAAACACATTTCTGTGCTGCAGGGGGCAGTGCCCAAGGGGAACGCCACAAAAGAGTACCTGGAGAGCCTGCAGCTGAAGCCCGGCGAGGTGATCTACAAGTGCCCCAAGTGCTGCTGCATCAAGCCAGAGCGCGCCCACCACTGCAGGTGCCGCCCAGCCCGTCAGCCCACGCCTTGCAGAGCTGGGGACAGTACAGGCTTTGGGTCCCTCCAGCCAGAGAGGCTTGTGAGGAATGGCTTCCAGGGCACGGGCCTTGGGCAGGTGTGAATACTGAGCATCCTCCAAGCCCACGTGGAGTCTAGGAGGCGGCGTAGACCCCCACTGCACCCCCATTCCAGGGTCCTCCGTCCAGATAAGAAGAAGAGTTCTCACGTGCCCACAGTTACCCTCACTTTTGGGGGGCTGCAGTTAGATGCCAGGTTCTTTTGGACATGCTTGCAAACACCAGTTATTAAGACAAGGACCGAAAGCACAGTACGGTCAGGCGTAGGCACTCGACCGCCCACCGGCTCTGGCCTTCTGCTGGACCTCGCCCTGCCGAGCCCTGCCTTTCAGATGGTGTTTCCTCCTGGAGGAAGGGGGTGTGAATTCCAGGGGTTGAAGCGTGGCAGCCTGGACTGTTTCCCCTTTCCTTGAACACCCTCATAAGTCTTTTATCTTCTACTTTCAAGCTGAAATCAAGGGTCTTGTAAAGCCAGTGTCTTTTCTGTAGTGGGTCAGGATTTGCCAAGATGAACAGAATGAAAATGAGCTGGGGCCGTTCGATGGCCTCCAGCTAGAGAGAGCCGATAGGAGGTGTGTCTGCTCCTTCATGGCTGTTGTGAAAGCTGTGGAATGTTCAGTCTTGCACTTGGCCAGAGAGCACCCAAAGATGCCCCGGTACAAAGGGAGCAGAGGAGCCCTGGCTTGGGCGCGGAGCAATGGATAGTGACTGTAGCGGGCATGCTGTGCTTTTCACAGTTCTGCAGCTGAAGTGAAAAAATCACTGTTAAATTTAGGCAGACTGTTGTGGTAATAGATTATATCTCAAATCTGTTTAAAAAGATGAAGTGGAAACATTTTGGAAGTTACCGGATTAACAGATAGTAGAAATCAGGCGTAGACCTGGGCTTGGTGACATGTCTATAATTCCCAGGAGGTTGAGACAGGAGGATCTTAGCAATATAGTGACACTTGGACTCAAAAAGGACTGGAGATATAGCTCAGATGTAGCAAAGTGCCCCCAAGTTCAATCCCCAGTACCAAAAAAAAAAAAAAAAAAAATCAGGCAGAGGAACTGTATCCATGAACAGAAAGTAGAGTCACCAGGAGTTAAGAGCTGTTGCCACAGATGCTCAGCTTGATAACAGTGGGAGCCATTTCGAAATACATAATCGGTAGCAAATTAGTTGAGGTTGGAGGTGTGGAATAGTTTGGAGAAGTAAATACAGTTGGAAGAACAAGACATACAGGTTACAATGGACGATTTAGACTCTGGTAGAATCATTTCAAGGTACCAAGAGTTTTTCCTTTCCTGAATGTTGAAGTTCAGTTCCAGGTTTTTACTGAAACCTGCACACTCACAGGACCAGGAGGGTCACTGCTAGGAGAGCGTGTCCAGCTTGACTGCAGAGCCTGGGAGTGGTGGGGTGGCCTCAGTGTGACATTGGCACTCTGTTCCTCGGGAACAGAAGGCACTCAGTCGAAGTGAATTCAAGTTAGCGACTTCCAGGTGTGCGTGAGCGAGCGCTGTGGGTGTCCTGTCGCGCTGGGCTACCTGGGCTCTGACGCTTCCCCACCTGTGGCTTTATTTGGCTTTGTTCTCTGGTTTCCCCGGAGCCTGGAAAATTGAAGTCAGATTTTTCTTTCAGTATCTGCAAAAGATGTATTCGGAAAATGGACCATCACTGCCCGTGGGTGAACAACTGCGTGGGAGAAAAGAATCAGAGGTTTTTTGTACTCTTCACTGTGAGTAAAATGTTTCTGAATTTAAAATTCGTTACATAGAATCCTGACACCTGGCCAGTTTCCTGCCCACCTTCACTCCAGAATCCTGAGCTCCCGGAGCCAGCGCGGGCAGGAGTCACCCAGGGGTGGGAGCTTTCTTGTCACCTGAGGTGCTGGCTGGTGTCCTCCTGGTGTCTGACGCTGCCAGTGGGCTCCTCCTCTACAGTTCTTTGTTTCTTTTTTTTCGGTACCAGGGATAGAATCCAGGCTGCTTTTCCACTGGGCCATGTCCCCAGCCCTTTTTAGCTTTCATTTGGAGGCAGACCTCCCTAAGTTGCTGGGCCTGGCCTGGGCCCTGCGGTCCTGCTGCTGTGGCTTCGAGGCGCTGGGCTGGGAGACACACGCGCTGCACCTGCTCCACCGTTTCCATGATTATTTCACTTGGTCCGAGATGCTGGACTGCGGGCAGGTGTCAGCAATGGCCGCTTGTTTCTGCCTTGTTTTTTCAAACAAATAAAAGGCTTCTGGAGCAGCTGTCAGGAGGCCACTAACCAGGCTTCTCCTTCCAGATGTACATAGCCTTGTCTTCGGTCCATGCCCTGATTCTCTGCGGGCTGCAGTTCATCTCCTGTGTGCGAGGGCAGTGGACTGGTAAGTGCTGCTCTCAGGTGCCTGGGTGGGGGCATCGGGCAGTCCTTTTCCCAGTCTGGAAGGGGTCCTTGCTGTCACTTCAGGAACTGAAGTTTTTAAAGAAGAGAACATGCCGGGTCGGGGGGCGCCCGCCTGTCATCCCAGCACTTGAGAGGTGGAGGCAGGAGGATCCCGAGTTCAAAGCCAGCCTCAGCAATTCAGAGAGGTGCTGAGCCATTCAGCGAGGCCCTGTCTCTAAATATAAAAAGGGCTGGGGAGGTGGCTCAGTGGTTAAGCACCCCTGGGTTCAACCCCTGGTACAAAAAAGGAAGAGAACGGTTGAGCTCACACTGCCATTTTGCAGTGACTAAAGCCATGTGATTCTTCTTCCTCAGTAGTTCCTGCTAAATGATTTTAGTTGCATTTTGCAGGGTTTCAGACTAGAGGGACGTTAGTGCCGTTCCCACCACACCTCGTGCTTTCCTCCTGGTGGCTGGCTGGCTGGCCCTGACCACAGCACTCCTGTGCTCTGCTGGGTCTGACTGAAGCCAGGGAGCAGTCAGAGCAGGTGACTGTCCAGCCTTGGACAGGCTGTGGGACAGGCTTGCCCCCGGGCCATGGGTGAGAAGTGGTTCCTGTGAGGCCAGCACAGGCCCAGGGCGTAGGGACTGCTGGCAGGAAGCAGCGGTGTGAAGTGGCTGGAAGGGCAGCGCTGGCCCGCTCTTGGGGCACAGAGGCCTGCCATTGACACTCGCGCACATGCCTGGCAGACTGCGCCCAGCCCGGGGTGGGGTTCCTGGTGTGCCAGCCTGCCCCTCAGCTGCCTCGCTCTCTCCCCAGAGTGCAGTGGCTTTTCACCTCCAGTGACCGTGGCCCTGGTGACCTTCCTGTGCCTTGAGGGCCTTCTGTTCTTCACTTTCACCGCCGTCATGTTCGGCACCCAGATCCACTCCATATGCAACGACGAGACGGTAGGTGGGGCCCGGGGGGGTGTGTCTCTGCGGGCTGCCCTCGCCACTGCTTGCATGGACACAGTGCGGGTTCAAGTCGGCGTGGTGTGAGGCTGGCCGAGCTGGGCAGGTGGAGTGGCAGGTTGGCAGCCCCCGGGGCTCAGTGAACTCCCGTGCCCTGGCGCTGCTGTCCTAGAGCAGGGCTCGGGGAGTGTGTGTGGGGGTGCTGGGGTGCAGTGGGCGGAGCCCCGTGGGCCGGCGGGCTGGCCACATGGACACAGGTCTGAGCAGACGGCTGCAGCCTGCTGTGTTCTTGGAGGTCCGTGTTCCTTAGCATCAGGGTCCAGGTTGGCAGAGGCAGGAAGGGGAGCCCACTGTGCCCACCGCCTTGCACCCCTCGGGCACCTCAGAGTGTGGTGGCATGAGAGGCTGGGGACATGTCCCTGTGTCAGCTGTTGTCCTGGCCTGTCTGTGCTGGCCCTCCCAGGCTGCAGCCATTTGCTTGTCTTCTGCTTCCAGGAGATCGAGAGGCTGAAAAGCGAGAAGCCCACCTGGGAGCGGAGGCTGCGGTGGGAGGGGATGAAGTCCGTCTTTGGGGGTCCTCCCTCACTGCTCTGGATGAACCCCTTTGTTGGCTTCCGATTCAGGCGACTGCAATTTAGACCCAGGAGAGGAGGCCCGGAGTTCTCGGTGTGAGGCCTCTTGTCGGGCTGGGACTGTCCTCAGACTCTGTTGCTGACTTGGATCTGGACGGGCATCAGCCTCCTGATGGCATCGGCCATCAGTGGGGCAAGCGTGGCCTGCAGCCAGGAGCCTTGGGGGCCACGCGGTGGGCCCTCCCCAGATCTCGCCTGAAGGGCACGCAGCCACGCTGGAGTGGGCGCCATCTCCTCCCCGCAGTGGCATCTCTTAGGGAGACTTGGGTGCTGCATGGGCCGTGGGCACCCCTGTGCTCCGGCGGTGCTGCCAGAGCCGTGCTGGCCCTGCCGGAGGCTGCCGCAGACCATGGCCTCCGAGCTCTGGAGCATCGCACTGTCACAGCGGTGCAGCACGGCGGACAGCGAAGGCGGCTTCTGGAGCCCTCCCTGCTGCCCTGGGAGAGGCCCCCTGACCCTTGCTGCAAGTCTGTGTGTCTGTGTGCGCGTGTGCATGTGTGTCGCTGGCGTGCTGTGTCGGGCTGTGGGCAGCAGTCAGGTGAGTTCAGGGAAGAGGGGTGAGCGCGGCGCCCCTGCCAGGAGGCAATGAATGTACTGCAGGCCGAGCGAACCTCCATCCAAAGAACAGTCCTCCGTGTGGTCCTCTGTCGCTCTCCCGTGTTTACTTTAAAAATCCACAGCGCTTGAGGGCTTGGCACTGATTTTTTTTGGTGTTCCAGGCAAAATAGCGATGTGGACCTGGCCCTCCGTGGGAGGCGGTGGCCTCAGCCAGGGCCTGTGCAGGCGGAAGGCGGGACGGGCTGCCTTGGGCTGCAGGGCAGGTGCGGGCTCCGTGCAGGTGACCCTGAGGCCCGAGCTGGAGGGCACCTCCAAGTGGCTCTGGTTTTTATGTTTGCTTCTCTACCTGCAGCACAGGTGATGACATTGGACCCTTGGTGTGAGCTCAAAACTATGCCAGAAAGAACAGCGCCCCTCGTGGGGACTTGCCTTAACTCACCTGGTCGTGGTGCCGCCCACCTCCAGGGAGCAGCTGAGGGAGCCCGAGGCCTCTGTGCTGGGAAGGGGGTGTTTCCGCCCCTGCCACTGCTCCTGTCCTCCTCCTGCTGCGGAGGCAAACTAGAGGGGCCTACTGAGCCGGTTCTGGCCACGTGGCAGATCATGGGACTGAGTCACTGCAGAGGCGTGAACTGTCACAGCCAGAGGGACAGTGCAGCAGGGGTGACCCTGGACAGTGAGCTGCAAGGATGTTTTGCACATTCACTGGCACATCTGTGTCTGGACCGGACACGGCGCTGGGCTTCTGCAGGAAGTTCTTACCGTGCATATCCTGAGCATCAGACAGAATCATCACCGGTGGCTGGGCCCCGTGAGCGGGCAGGTGTGCAGCTCAAGTATACTTGACTCCACTCTCCTCTCAGTGTAACTTTTATATGAAATAAAGTCACCAAGCGACAGTTCTCGGAGCTCAGTGGCGCAGTTCTTGATGGAGGCGGGTGGTGGCGGTTGTCTCCAGAACCTCTGCTCTTTCCTGCCCTTGACAGGTGGCCCGGGCATCCCTGTCCTCACGGATTTTCCCTGACTCATCTTCCAGCAGTAGCACGCTCTGAAGGTTCAGGTGGCTTTATCCTGGACAGTACGTGGGCATCTTTCTGAGTTCATATTGAAATAGAAACCACTAAAAGTTTTTCTGTGTGGTCCATGATATCAGGTACCCACAACTTAATTTTAGTTCATTTGACAATTTTAAAAAATACCTACTCTGGGGGGCCAGTGCCCCTCACTGCTGTGCTCGCCCCGGGGTGTGCTGTGCCTGTGCTGTCCCGAGTCACGGTGGCATCCCAGGAAGGAGTGTGGAGGAGCTGGAGCACAGAGGCCCACACATAACGTGAACCGAGACACCCAGTTCGTGGGCCTGTGTGTGGCCCTTCGGTTTTGCTGAGTGTCACGAGGCTCTGTCAAACAGAGTGAGACGTGCGTTCCTGTGGACACTGAATGCCCTGCTGGCTGAAGCCCCTCCTGTTGGATGTGCCCTGGGTCAGCTGCCGAGCAGAGGCCAGAATAGGGAAGGGCAAGGGCTGGAAGCCCCGTCTAGTCCCAGGGCTGCATTCGGGGCCCTGGTGCAGGTGGGCTCCTGCAGTACCTTCAGCGCCCAGGGCCTGTGGGCCAGCTGGTGCTTTAAGCAAAGACCCTGAGGACACTCGGGGAGCAGAAACCTCTGAAAATGGGCGGCCCCTTGGGCTGTGAGGCCTGGGGAGCAGCACAAGGGGCTCCCGGAGAGTACAGCTGTAATCAGAGAGCGGGGGAGTGTCCTGGCGTTCCCGTCAAGGCTGGACTCCCTGCTGCCCCCTCACTGATTCGTGGGTCGCATCTTAGGAACCTGCCCCCGTTTCTCCTGGGGGAGCTGGGGCTCCTGAGCGCGTGCTCCCCTGCTGCGTGGGCTCTGGCTCTCTTGCGGGGCTTTCCCGGCGTCTTGAAGCAAGACACTTGGCAGCAGTCTTCCAGGCGGAACTGCCCGTCAGTTTAGGGGTCTGGGCGTGGAATCCATAGGCCTGACCTCCACTCACAGAGACCATCCAGTCTACTGTCACATCCACTGCCTGTGGAGTTCCCTGTCCCGGGGAGGTGGCGTTGCACAGACAGCCGAGGCCTGCTGGCTGTGTGGCAGGGCAGTGCCTCTTCAGTGTCACCTGCCCTGGTGAACAGGAGCCCCGGTCCTCAGGGCAGCTCTTGCTTATTGAAAACCTGCATCCCATCGTCTGCGCAGACTTGCTGTGCGTGTCCCCCCTCCACTGTTGCCAGCCTGGTAGATGGAGATGGGGTGGGGTGGGTGGGCCAGTGTGTCCAGTATAACGTTGGCCGTTCAGCAGCAGCTGTGTGTGTCACTAACACTGAGAAGCTGGCTGTGTGGCAGCCCTCCACTTCACCTGGTTGTCCAGCAGCCAGGCTTCGTGACACCAAGAGCTGCCACCGCATGGGCTGGGCACACCTTAGCCACTACCTTCCAGGCTGGGCCCCAGGGCAGGGGACACATGCCGCCGAAGGGCTGGTGCTACAGGTGCACAGAGACCACCAGGGGGCGCCAGGAGATAGCAAATGCCTGAACACTGCACCAGTCACAAAAACCAGGACTTTACAGCTGGCTCATCTGTTAGGGCCACCGGTGTTTACTGAGTACCTACTATGTGCTGGCAGGGTCTCTGCCCTCAGTAGACACTAGCACAAGGCTTTGCTTGTATGACCGTACACCATGCCTCCTGCGTGGAGGAGCAGCAGGAGCGGCCGCCTCAGGCGGACAGGAGGGACCCGTGAAGGGCCTGAGGGTGGGGGGAGCCGTCGAGGGAAGGAAGCCGAGCCACCGCCCACAAGCCCAGCGTGAAGGCCACCTTTGCCCGAGGACACCTGGCACACGTGGGTGGAGTGCAGGTGGCCGGAGGGGCCCAGCCATCGGCAGCGCAGGGGACAGGTCTTGCTGGGTGGCACTGGAGGCTGGCTGCAGCCCACCCCTGAGATCTCAGGTGGCTCCTGGCCTGGGAGGGCACCACCCGCTCTGACCATAGGGGGCCCCAGGCATGGACGGTGCCGGGGCTGGGGCTGGGCCCCAGGGGACAAAGCAAGCCCTGTGCAGGCTCCAGCGTGGTGCAGCGGGTGACCGGCCCCACACAGTCGTGTCCAGCCTGACCTGCCCGGCCCCACCCCTCGGCCTCTTGGGCTGCTCCTCCCCTCGAGGCTCCCAGGAGGGTCTCCTCCCAGATGCCACCTCCCTGCCTGCCCAGAACCTCTGCCTTCCCCATGAGGGCACCCGTCCACTTGCGAGAGCGGCTGCCTTTCTGTGCAGTGTCCCTCTCTCAGCCAGGGGCGAGGGCGGGGCAGGGAGCTTGTTAGACCTGGAGGCCCCTGGAGCCTCCCCCGCCCCTTGTCCTCCTGAAGCAGAGGGCAGACGGCCAGGCTGGGCCCCGCTGCTCTGGACAGACCCCGAGGAGGGCCTCTGGGTGAGGGAGCAGGGGAGCAGCCCCTGAACTCAGTGCAGCCAGCACCGCCCGCCTGCCTCCGCCTGCGGCTCCCGCCTGTAGGACAGGGACGTCCGCCTTGGGTGGTGTTCAGGGATCAGGAGTCCTGGGGGCTGAGGGGCGCTGGGCACAGGGCTGGGCGGGGTGTGGAGAGGAGCTGGTGCCTTGTCCTGTCGCCCTGTGTGACTGGCAGGTGTGCCTGGTCAGGAGGGGCTTGCTGTTTCTTGTGGTTTTTAAAAACCAGACACTGAACAACCCGAGTCCATTCCTCAGGGCTCCCAGCAGGGCCCACATTCGCCCTCTCCCAGAAAGCGCTGTCCTGGCAGAGGCCTGTGCCCCTGGCTGGGTCTGGGGTCCTTTGAGACCAGCTTCCCTGGGGCGGGAGGACCGTTCCCACGTCCTCCTCCTCTGGCCCTGCGTGAGGCCGGGCGGTGCTCCCAAGGCTCGCCCCGGTCACGGTCACGATGTGAGGCTGCAAGCTGGTGGCCGTGGCCTGCACTGCCCCAGAGCCCCGACTGTGAGATGGACCCATCTGGGGACGTCCCTCGACTCCGCTTCCCCGGGTCGCCATTCTCACTGCCACACTGGCGGGAGCGGGGGCCAGGAGCGGGGGCCTGACCTGCCCACAGACGCTCCTGGGACGTGGACAGTGCAGGTGGCTCGGAGCGCCTGCGTCCCATTCCTAAGTGTGTACGTGTCTTTCTCTTGTTCTGTCACTAAAAAAAAGTGTGTGATTCAGTGCGAGTTGGCACCTTGGTGACGCCGTGCCACCCCACCTCTGTCTGGCTCAGAACATCTTCAAACATTCCCGTCCCTCCCAGGAGCCGCTGCCCCAGAGCACACTGCCGCCCGCGCCCCTCTGTCTGCCTCCGGGCCTGGCTTTCCCCCTGGCCCCGGCCTTCCTGTCGGCCTGTCAGTCAGCACCACGTCCAGGCCCACCCTGCCGGGTGCCCGTGCCCCTCTGCTGCTTGGGCGGAGGGTGCTTCCCCGTCAGCGCCTCCCCAGGCCTGGGCCGAGCCCTCGGCAGCCGGGTTGGCACACCGTGGGCATGTGACTGCGGGTAACTGTGGCTGTGTGCGCTGCTTCTTTGTGACCCTCAGGTGTGGCCCGGCCTGCACTGTCCAGGGAGGGGTGAAGGACCGTCCTTCCCGCTCTGCCCCTCACCCTGCCCAGGCAGCCCTCCCGGGCCAGAACCTGTGGCATTGAGACCTGAGGAGACGCCTGGAGTCTGCGGTTTGGTTTGGGTTTTTGGTTCTGGGGATGGAACCCAGGGGCACTCTACCACTGAGTGACTTCCCAGACCATCTCCATTTCTAGTTTGAGACAGGATCCTTCTAAGTCGCTGAGGCTGGCCTTGAACTTGCAATGCTCCTGCCTCAACCTCCTGCGTCACTGGGATCACAGGCACGGCCACCACACAGGGTTAGTTGCCTTTAACCAAATGAACAAATGCCTGCTTCTCACGTGTAGATCCTGGCTCCGACACCACCTCCTCCAGGCAGCCTTCCCTGGTCACCCCAGGCAGGGTTAGTGCCTCCTCCGATCTCACTGGTCCTATGAGTCCCCAACAGGCGCAGTGTTGGTCTCTGAGGCTCAGAGTGGCTCTCTTCCTTCCTGATGGCCCCTGGGCTCAGCATTGTGAGTGTGGAGATTGGGTGACACGGAGACGTGTCTGTCCTGACCCCTTCTAAAGGGCCACTGCCAGAGAACGGCCACCCGGCAGCGTGCTCTGTCCCCAGCAGCCTTGCTGGGAAGGGCCTCCTGTGGTTTTCCACAGAGCGTGACCGGCTGGCCTGGCCTGTGCGGCTCCCCAGGTCTTGCAGGGCCAGGCAGTCCCTGCTCATGAGCGAGACCCCGTGGCCCAGGCGAGGCCCTCGCCATCCACTTGACCCCAGAGCCCCGTCCTCGCCGCATGGAGCAGTCTCAGCCCGAGCTCGGAAGCTTTGCAGAGCACTCGCTCCTTTGTGCAGGGAGTTCAGAGTTGGTCCAAAATCTGGGCCAAAGGGAGGCTGGTTTACTCCCTTGGAACCAGCAAGATGGGCAGCCTGAGATGTGCCAGGGATGGGGCTCGTCCTTTCCCCTGGGGACCTGGGACCGAATGCGGGACCTCGCTTCTCCATTTGAAGCATGGACTCTCACTCCCACTGTTCCTGGGGCTGAGACGCCCTAGTACCTCTCGACTGTGCCCTGGGAGGGTCCCTCGGGGACTCTGGGCACGTTCGTCCCCCTCTCCTCCCGGTCCTCCCCGACTAGAGCAATGGCCGGTCCACCCCCAGCTACTCCTGAGCCATGGCGGGGAGCTGGGCCTACCTGCTCGACTTCCCAGCCTTTGCCCCCTCTGAGTGCGTGGGTGACTCTTAGGACTCCTGCCCCCGGCCACTGCAACAGGCCCAAAGGCAGGCAGGGGACCAGGGTGGGCCCATGGGCAGCCCTGTGGGGAGAGCAGCTGTCAG